GAGATTTGGCGGTTATATAACCATTATAGGTGTATTTTTCGGATCTTAAAGCTCATTGTCTCGCCTGAAACTAGTTTTTTTTTTCGTAACAAATGAAAAACCTATTACAGAAATTAGCAGAATAATTAAAAGAGAAATAAATCATTGTCTAACAATTATCATTGTTGTTGGTTGCATAAGATTTCTAGATGTAGTTATTTATGAGAAAATACAAACAATCGATGGAGCTGATTGTCGCGTTTAACCGTGATCTTGTAATGCATCGACAATTCTTTACAATAACACCATAGAGAAAATATTCTTCTAACTCTTGTCAATATAACAGTACGATATATTGATCGTATCTACATTTAACTAGGGTTGCCTATCAAAAGCTTCTCCGAAATTTTACCTTAACCTACTTTATTTTCCATACTAGTTCCAAATCGGTGGATTTTGTCAGAGATGCGTTTTGCCGTAATTTAGAATAACTTCCTTCACGTCCAATAATTGTATATGATACTTTTGACGACGGTATTGAGACTACTTCCTTGAAAGATGAGCCATACAGAGTTCAGGATGTCGCCTAGGAAGAGCGCGAGTTCATAATAATGAAGGAAGAATCGACCGTTCTTCATTCAGATCACCCACGATACCGATTAAACCTTATTCACACGTTCTTGTCAGTATGAAAAAACGAATTCACGACGATGAACGCAAAATACAGATATTTATTTTTCAGTGTATTATTGAAACTCAGGTTTATAACTTAATTTGTGTAGGACTTCTATTACATTTTTTTGAGAAATCAACTTCGTTCGTAACAGCGAAAATGTGTTTAAAATTATTCGGCTAAGTTGTGAAACATCATGTATAAAATGTTGATGAATATTTGGTGCCAATGGTTCTGATACACTACTGGCTGGCAATAGATTTACTGTTACCAGCAGCACAAAATCAACACGATGGGCCCTTAAATAGATGTCAAAAAGCAATAAAGTATGTCAGTCAATAGTTTAAAGCCTTGTCTTAACAAGCGCTTTGGCTGATCCTATAGTTAAAACCTCAAAATTGATATTCATTTTCACAATACCAAACAATTTTCATGATTCAACTGCCATGTCTTGTATGATGTGTTATATGTTCTTACTAAGGAGCATTTAAGGAGAAACTTGTATCTGCGACATGCAATCTTAAATGTACTTGTATATAATATGAAACTGAACGCCGCCTACACTTTTACTTTTACCGGAGATAGTTTTGTCTATTTATGTGTTAACAACAAAAGGTTGGTTTCCCAGATGCAACGTCTTTCTCACGTTAAGAATAGTTTCCTCTTATCACATCACTTCAGTTTTCTAATTACGTTATAATTCCTCAGAGATGTTTTTAACACAATATGCTTTGTATCGGATTTGAGACTAAGATTCTTAAGTTGGCACCTGGCTAAACACTAACAAAGATGTTATTTCTGCACAAGGGAATATCGGTTATTGTCCCAATATTGAACCCTGCAGACCTCCCAGAACGAACTTTATGAAGACTATGTTTCGTCCTAGCACACAAATAAGGTGACAAATACGTCTAGGAATTGACTCAAATTCCTTCTACTAGTGCTTCTTGTTTATTAACAGCATCACGTATACTACATTTTTCATGATTAAAGTTAAAACATTGAACGTCTAGATTCATGAAAAACTCGACAATTACTATCATAATTTGCATCCTGATAATTATGATTCTGCATCGCTGCTTTCGCTTTTAATAGTTGAACTAGGAACTCACATCAACCCTATTACAGTTTTTTGTATTTGTTCTGGATTATCAGTAAATAAAAAGTAATTATACACGCAATAACAACAAAGTTCCTCAGGTAATTAGCGAAATTAAGTAAACGATAAGGATGAAATATTGCTCAGACCGAGAAAATTGTTTTCCGTTTCCAATATTTGCTAGCTTGTTATCGGAAACGTTGAAAATAAATTGCAGTTATTGTGTTTTTGCGACCACATACTTGAATTCGTCACATATGAACAGGAAAATATAAAAATAGCTGGCACTTGTTGCTACAATCTTGCCAAATGCAGTAAGCTATCAACTTGAATAGGCTACTTGACTCATATCTAATTTCATAGAAAAAATGAGTATTTTTACAGTATGTGGCTTGGGAAAACGAAATATATCGATTTCAATGTTTAAAAGCTCAAAAACATAAAACATTTGATAAGCTTAAAATGCTATCGGCCATGATATAACGCCGTCCGTATGTAACTCGTGGACTAACGTTATATTCTTTACATATTTTTAAAAAAATTCTAATTGACGTAAAAACTAACTGTTTTATGTTTTATTGAAAAAACAATCATTCCTGTTGGATTCGTAAAAGCAGAAAGCTCAGACTTGCCAAACATTAACACATAACTTCAACCAAGATTTCTACTCTGCTGAGCTGAGGAACATCAACACTTCTATATAGGTACAGTGCATCTGATATAATGATAGGCATAAAAAAGACTTAGGCCCGTATCGTCAGTCGTCCCTACCATTGTAGGGCGCGTTTATGGCCTCCTTGATTGTCATACTCCTTTCTCTCCTTCAAACATAACCTCAAAATAGAGTTCTGACACGGAGAAGTAGAAAACTATAACAATCAAGGAGGCCATAAAGGCGCCCTACAATTGTAGGGACGACTGACGATACGGGCCTTAGTAAGTAATTAGGCTCTTTTTCAAAAGTCTTGCAAGCTCAACTTCTGAATAATTTTATAGTAATATTACGAATATATATATAAGTGATCTTCGCAAAAATAAATTTGTGTTACCATCGACAAAAATTCAGGATCACCCCTTTCCCTTGACACTCTAATCCACAGTTTTGCTGAGATCTTAATGTTTTTTTACATTCTCGGACGATACAAGAACGATGATTACTATATTTTTTATGTAAACTGGTTTAACGCATGTTTTCAAATGTGTAAAACTTTGAAAGGTTATGCTGCTGACAGCTGCTGTTTACAAATCGTATGACTTCAGAGCACATTATTCTATAGGCAAAACATGGCGGACAGCGTTTTCGCCTATCTAAAAAGATATGTGTTTAAATTAGAGTTTTACTGTTTTTTTAGGTCTAAAAAATATAGTATAATTTTTTGGTCTAATGAAACAAATATTAACTATTCAAGACTTACTTAAAAAAGTGTTAGCTAGCTTATATAAGTAATGTTGTGTTGTTTGTTAACGTGTATCTTTACTTCATCACAAAAAACATGTCAGACATGTCAATATGTTTGTTGTCTATCTTGACGCTAATCTTCAGCCGCTCTATAACCTGAAAAGTACAGTTTGGATTTTGTACAAATTCTGGTACATGCATACCATTGTACCTCAATAAAGGCGCTTACTATAAAGGCTTTTAAATATGTTGTCAGGTCTTGTATGTCGACATTTTCAATGTCTCTGTCCATTTTTGGAGACGACTTTGGAGAAGTTGAAAACTCGACAACTAAAAGGTGTAGGATGTGGTAGTAAATTTGTTGTTTTGGAGTAATCCAAATATTCTGACGCTTATAATCCCTGGTAGTACTGCGCACTTATTGAACATAGTTTGTACATTCTTCTCTAATAGAAAGGTTTTGCGATGTATTCAGCAACGTAAAATATGGAACAAATTCTTTATTTCGATCTTCGCATATTTATGAGAAATCCGTCAATTCCAAATTTCAATCTCCTAAAAATAAAAAATAAAAGGTCGGCACTCAAGTACGAGATGCTCGGGCAAGGTATTTGAACATCTGCCACATGATATTTTTTTGCGATCGCAAAATTTTCGCATTTTAGATAAAAGTTTTTTTATGATGTTTCGTAACGTCTATATTACGAAAATTCATTAGACTTATTTTCGCCGGTCTGTCTATCTATGTGTTGACGTGTTTCAACCCACGTTGTCTTAGAAACTGAAGCTGTGATTATTATTATACATAGTAAGTAATACTCTTTCATTCTCGAAAATCAGCTTGATCTGGACGGAGTTAAAATGTTTCCTAGACGGGTCAACATTTTTAAGAATCTCAAGAATTTGTTTTAACAATCTTTTGAATTTCTTATCATTTTTGGACAATGCTAAAAAAATTTAAGAATTTTGCTTGCATCAACGATGCTTACTCAGCATTTGAATATGGTGGATCTTCAATTTGCATATATGAGAATCTATTTGACATCTTTTTTTACGTCATCTATAATTATGCACTAAAAGCACTATAGTGAATTTCGTTAAATATTCGTATATATCCAAGCTGCCATTTTTTTAATAAATTTAAGGGTTACCCTGAGGGTATACTTCGAGATCGCACTACGTAAGTAAGATCTTTGAAATAAAAGAAACGTAGTCTTGTTTGAGATCGATAAAATTAACCATTTTTGAGGAAAGCACAGATGTATTCATTTTGGCCGTCCATTTCCAAACAATGATTCTGATAACACATTCGTAATTAGCGACACAATCGAACTAAGATATAAATTTTATCGAAATTCAACAAGAATACAGCTCTTTGCTAAACACTTATGCTTTATAACAGTATATTTGGTAATTGGTGTAAAAAATCACAGCTAGACTGCGTTAGGGGTAGTTCGATCCTGGCAATGAGCTATTTATTTTCCACAGACAAGGCTCTAACTCGTTACTAATCTATGAAAATATCGTTGAATTATAGTATCGTTTGCAATGTATTTGACAAGAACCAATTTTCACTAGTGTCCCTTAGGGGAGTATAGGGTAGTATCTTAGGACATTTTTGTATATATATATATATGTATATGTAGAGATTGATATTTCATTTTGAGACACCCTGTATATTTCGACATCTAAAATTCATGGGTTTTGGATTTCTTAAAATTACGCACAAAGATCGAAACAACCAATTTATTCCACTTGATATACATAACGATCACTGTCACTCGCACTACGTCACTGTACCACCCCCCACCCCTATATCAAGCCACCCCCTAAGCCTATGTCACACTCACCGGTGGCGGTTCAGATCCATACACTTCGGAGGGTGGGTACTCCGGCTTGATAGTTACGGTGGCCATTGATTCTGGCTGTAGTTCCTTCTCCATACTTTCACTGGTACTGCTCTGCCTGGTTACTTGATGATGTGTTCGCTGCTTTGAAGACTGACTGACTGTTTCACACCGGTCGCTGGACCGACTGCACGGTACGGCTTCGAAACAGCGCCTTGTAGCTGCTGCCCCTACCATTCGCGGCCTGGTACCGCCGCTGAAGGAGAAACTTTGTGCTTCGGTAGTAGCGATGGTACCGAGGAGTGTTGCAGAGCTGCCAACGGTTGATAGGCTGCTGCTTGCGGGCAATCTCGATCGGGCTGTTTAATTTGGTTGATTCAGATCACCAAGACTACGTGGTACCATAATCATGGTACTACTGGCAATCAGCCCTTTGTGCACAGCGTTAACCAAGTCTTCGATACCCGACGACCGTAGTATCTAGTGGACTTGATACACAATCCTGTAGTCAATTCATTTGGATGAAAACAATCGCCATTAGTGACACGGTACTGACGATGAAGGAGAAGCTCCCCGAGAAGCTCTGTGCTTCGGTAGTAGCGATTGTATCGAGGAATGTTGCAGAACTGCCAGCGGTTTAATCCCGATCGGGTGATTTAATTTGATTTATTCTGGTCACCAGGACCAAGTGGTACTATAATCAATGTGGTACCGAAAATCTAAAACCTTTTGTACCCAAAATTAATCAACTCTTTGATACCCGACGACCTAGGCGACTTTGTATACAATCTTGTTGCTGATTGATTTTGATTGAAACAATCACCATCCGTAGCAGCGATGGTACCAAGGAGTGCTGCAGAGCTGCCAACGGCTGATAGGTTGCTTGCGAGTGGATCTTCAAAGATCGGGCTATTCAATTTAGTTGATTCAGGTGACAAGGGCAAAGTGATACCGTAATCAAAATATTATCATATTTAAAGCGCTTTGTACACAACGTTAACCAAGCATTTGATACCGGCGACTTCAGTATCTAAGGGACTTTGTATACAATCTTGAAGATGAGTGATCAGTCACTGAAGGAGAAACTTGGTGCCTCGCGCATCCTTAATTTTTTCAGGTAACCAGATTTCCTCACAATTCCACGTGAGTACTGATTTTTCGATATAACCCTTTTAAACACTTTCTCTTCTCCTTACTATAAACAGTAGCACGTATACACAAAACAATGCAAAACATTTGCTGACGAGTGTAAGCTTGCGATTTCACATTGGTTGCTAGATCTAAACGACTAAACGCCACAACTTGAGTAGCCGCTGTCGTTGCCCCTACCATGCACAAGGTGTTAATATGCTAGTACCATCATTGTTGAAGGAGAAACTTGTATGACTTTTCTCGAGTTTCGGTAGCGCCAAGAAATACGGAAGTGTCAACTGATTTGCAGAGACATACCATTTACTACAAAAATATACTTCGAATTGACCAGCTAGCTAAAACTGACACAACAAGATCACTAAAACTGTGGAAAGCTTCATATGAATGTAACTCCTGAAACTCATCCAGTGGTTTTCATGTTCATAGAACTCCATTGTCTGGCCTAATCGAACCACCTAAATGTTTAAATTCGTGTTTATTGTGACGTTAATGTGTAATGATGGTATATTTTGTTTATAAAGGTATAAGATAAGCAGAACGTATGTACTGGCGTTATTGCTATTGTCATTGAAAGGACACCGTGGTGAAACTTCGTAGGGCAAACAGGAAGTTAAACATATGCGTGGTTTGATTCGGCCAGACAATGGAGTCCTACAAGCCTTATCTGGTCAATTGTTTTATATTCTTCGTATCAAACTTTTGCACATTTATCTTTCACTACTCATCAAATGCTTTAAGCGCTCGGTTTTTCCATTTTAAACAAATGAATAAGAGCAAGAATGTTGAAAAAGTCAATTCAATGTTTCCACAAAATCATCCCTTGCTGGTTCCGTATTCCTAAAACAACATATTTTAGTGGTCAAATTCGATAGATGTTGTTACCTCATCAGGTCTTTAGGAATACAAGGGGCTACGCAAGGTCTGCGTTCCTCAATTTTTAGCGCATGCTAGACCAAACTTGCACTCAATTGATCGATATATTCTTCGTATCCGTTAAGCATTTCGTCGTAAGAAAACCCGATTAAGTTACAATGAAACCTGACAAGTCCGCCTAGTAGATCTAGAACGCAGCTTCAGCACTCTTATTTTCAAATTTCGCTAACGCCTCATGACTGTTATTACCATCTAGTCGTGGTAAAGGCAAAACCATGACAAAATCTCAATATTTGACCAGATATTGCTTATCGGCAGTTATAAAATTTTCTGGCCGACTTTACCATTTTGCGTTGGTCTATTTCTATAACGAATCCATGCCATCATTAATTGATTCTGGTTAGAAACTTTTATTAATAATTTGAATATAGTTTCACTCGTTTGCTATAATCCGATATTAACAAATTTGTTGTACAGGCGTTATTAAATCACACAGTTGACTGAATTCAATTAGTTGAGTTTTTAATGGTGACTTACTGAAGCCAAGTTCATGTTATAATATAATTAATCAAGTCGTTTTCCAGAATGATTGTCTAAATTACTGGTTAAGTATGTTTGTGTATTTTGTGGTCAAGCTAACTTTGAATATGGTGGACAGTTGTCCCCTTTTCTTGGAAGCGACCAATCTCTTCAAAGAATTGCTATAACGAAATGTTATCTACCTGGTTTACTTGTGGTGGTTGAGGCTTTCCATAGGCACTTACGACAGAGTATATTGAACTTCAAACAAATGCATACAAAAATGAGACATAATAAATAATGGATGTTAAAGTGCCATTTTATAACGAAATGAACCGGTGGGAGTGTACTGCACAATATTAAAATCTGGTGAATGTACAGACCCTTTTCTGCAATAGGGAATATAGAGGTCATTCGAATGTCGTCAAATTATCTTTATTTTCAATCTATATTGCTTCAGAATGACACCTTCAACCTTATTTTATGCTTGAGCGCTACAAACTTTACGAGTAACTTTTAATGAAAAAATAAGCGGTAAATTTTAAATGTCGAAATGCAACGCTATTGGCGTGATATCACTACTTGCGACTTGTAACCAGTCAACCCTTTGACGATTGGCCAATTTAATTTAAAATGGCAGACATTTGTTCTCACTATCCTTGATTGTCTACCAGGGGTGGTAATGTAATACCGTACACAGTAATGGAACGTAGATTGACAGATAAAATTTTCCTCTGGCGTACTATGAAATTTTATTTTTAGAACGCCTAAGTTATTACAATCATGTAATTTTTTATTTTATTTTTATTTATTTACCAACATCCAACAGCCATACAGGATGGATAAACATGAAAATATAAACAAATGCATGTAATGGAAGTATGTAGAGAAAGCTAAAACGCTGCAAAAAAAACTCAAACCGAACTGCGAGGAAAAAAAGCGTTGTAGCTTTACCTACCCAGCACTCAAGAATCACACCAGCAAGCATTAACGAAAATGAGCATTAATGTCTCCCAAACTCGTACAAAATGAAAATATATCTAAAACACTATTAACTGAATAATTATAATTACGGCACATTATATAGATAGGGGAAAACTTACTCCTAGGTCTGACTAAGTAAAAAGTTAAACTAGTTCGTGACGCAAATCTAGGAATTAAGAAGTTAAGTTATTCTAAGATGACACTGGAGTCAATAATGCCATGGATGAGCTTATGAGTGAACTTAAGTGAATTCTTTTTGCGTCTGCTCTCTAAATTATAGATTTTGTGTCTCACCTTCAACTCACTATGAGGAAAGCCAGTAGCAGGATATATCCAGTCAGCTTTGTATGAGAGGTATTTTAAAAACTTTCTTTGAACGGACTCTAAGCGGTCAATATATATTTGATGATGAGGATACCATACCAGGGACGCATACTCAAGCTAAGATCTTACATAAACATAGTACAGTATTTTCAGTGTAAAGGTATTGTGGAAATCACCAGTATTTCTTACAAAAAAACCATACGCCCAGCGTTTTCGATGTGGTCGGAGAAGGAAAGTTTTCTGTGAAATGTGACTCCCAAGTCATTAATTGTATTAGGTCTGTCAAGTTTTTTGTCACCAATACTATATTCATACATCATTACCCCTATTTTCAAAGTAAACGACAAAACGTGACACTTATCAGCATTCAAAACCAGTCTGTTTTCACGACACCGGTTGTCAACCCTTACAATGTTGCATTGCAAGCGATGACAATCGTCAATGTTAGCGACTCTACACAAAAGTTTCATATCGTCAACATATATAAGAAAATCGACATCGATAACTTCAGAAATATCATTTAAGAACATAATACATAAGAGGTCCAAAATTAGATCCTTGAGGAACACCGGACATTACAGGGTATTCGCTTGACCTATGTCCATTGCACATAACATACTGTTTCCTATGAAATAAATAAGATCTGAAAAATAGCAACAATGTATCTGAAAGACCAAATCTAGATAACTTATTGAGTAGGATGTCATGGTCTAAACTATCAAACGCTTTAGAGAAATCAGTATATATTCATCTGTTTGAAGTTATCTATCGATTGATTCACAAACATATTGAGTAAGATGTAGCAACTTAGTAACTGTGGACCTGCCCTTCATGAAACCGTGTTGACTGACGGAGATAGACCTGCTTACATGGAAATATATAATCAGTTTGTATCACTATTTCGAATGCTTTAACGAAAGTACGTAGTGACACTTGATGACAGCTGGCAAATTTCTAGCCACATTTTCTGAGACCATTTTATTTAATATAAGAAACCCGAAGGATAAGCAAATAAAGCAAACAAACAGTGAACCCTGAACCATAAGAATGGCAAGTGACAACACGTCTATTCCCATGATTTTGAGCACGGGAAGAAAAGCGCATATTTCCGAACGCATGGATCACGTAGGTAAGTCAAACAATTACAAACGCTAAAAATGGTACAGACTAGTACAAAGTACACTCTGTAAGAATTTACGATCGCGGCCCTGTTAGTGTGACGTTACAGCTTTTCAATGTAAACTCTATTTCACGAGTATCCATCACGGTAGAATGACAGCTGGTTATCTAGTAATATCTCAAAATTCCCCATATCGACAGAGGTCACATAATCCTGACGGATGCGTCAATCACAGGTAGACAGAGTCATACTTTATTTTGTTTTTTGTACGCTACAGATTCATTTTGTACTTGCTAAAAGCTCTTTTATTTAAAAAACAAAACGATACAAACAATTTTTTGCTAGATTTTTACCCGATTCATTATAGCCAGCGTTACAGACTAACACAAAAATGTCACTAGCTGATCAGCTCTGTTCACCTCAGTAGACGTCAAAGCGTGATGGATACTCGTGATATAGACTGTAATTTTTTACAATAATCGTAACCTTTGTAAACAGATGTCAAAAACCCGACAGTGATCTGACAAAAATTACGACCAAATTAATGACAAATCATGGGTTATGGTGTCACTACAAAGCACGCCAAAAGCGCGGCAGAAAATAAAAAAATCGTGCATATTCACTATTAGGTGGTCTATTAATCCAAGTCCATTCTTCCCTTTTCCAGTACCTAACAGCCGGTTACACCCGTTCTGTCACTATTTATAAGTAGACTCGTATTGTCGTATTGCAACCCTTTGTTACATCAGTCAGTATACTACACAGTCTAGATAGTAGACACAGAAGATCCTAGCTCAAAATCAAATCAAAGCAGCTTAGGACAGATCAAATTTTCAACATCAGCAAACTCCACAGTAATAATTCTCTTACATAATTTTAAAATTTCTAGATGCTACTTAACAGTCTACTCGCTTCTTATTCTTAAGTGAATTAATTCGAATTTCAAAACAAAAATTGATTCTCCGTAGAAGAAGCATGGCAAAGACTTATTTCATTTCAATCAAAATATAACATGTAGAAAGGTAAATATTTTATTATGAGTATGTTGAACCAAGCTGGTATAGTAAATAAACATTACTGGTATTCTTCAATTAAGGTTTTGACGGTGATATTAGGAATAATTGACAAAAATTGTGTTTACAGCGAAATTATAGGTTATAGAAAAATGTATTATTGTGAGAGCACACACAACTGTGGGGTAGACTTATTCATCCATATGGTGAGACTCATATCGTTGCTCTTGAAATCACGAAAACTTTCGATCAACTGCCTCCCAGAGAAGCTTAGCAGATGGGTGGCTGACATCCTCTCTGGCCGCAAGA